GTCAACTCAGACAACGCATTTCCCACGTTCTACAAATCACTCGTTAGATGCAGTTAATAGCATAAGTATCGGCACAGTGTGGTTCTGGATAAAGCACAAAACAAAAAGAACAGTAGCTGTCTCAATACTTACGATACAAACTCCATAATGTGCAGCGTAGTAATAATGCAGCCAAAACTATGTTTGTCTGAGGTTGATTCACTTCCACTGCAAGCTGCTGGTGCTGGCGTTTCCATGATGAACATCTGTCTGTTGTTTCAGTGCAGTGGTCATTATGAAGGCAAATCATACGTAGTGTTTGTCTTTTCACTTTATGAACTATTGTATGCAGCAATTCTAGAGTCAGTACAACCGACTCTGAAATTTTACAAGAGAGAAAATATGTAAAAGTATCACCAGCAAAGCATGTTTTAATTGAAGATGTATCTGAGCTGCGTTGTAGGCCTCCTTCACACTGCATGAAAATCCTGCTACACTTTTCAGAATCAGAATCTGTCGAGACAGCACATTTGAAACCTCCGTTGTGAACGCAAGCCTGGTCCTTCTTAATAATCACCAAGTATTGTTGTGCTTTTTGTCTCCCTGAGAAGTTTAATACAATAGTGTAAAATATTTCTGACGGATCATACAAACCTTTGATGCTCAAGTTTATTTCTTTAAAACGAACGTCGTACTGGTTCCGCCTTAAATAATCACTAATTAAATCGCGTCACAAAGTTGTCTTTGTTCTGCTCTAAAACGACTTCCTACAAGCTCTGGAGCTGTTCATGAGAGCAGATTTAAATTAGCATAACATTTTGAAACAATCAATTTCACCCTGATCCCAAGTCAGATCTCATTTTCTCTCTGAGATTTAAAGACCAGAGGTAAATATTTTGCAGAGAAATGTTCTAATGAGAGCTACACTTTAATGAAATCAAACCTAAATCTAAAAATAACTAATAAGAGTAAATGCAAACAGGTTTAGCATTTTTTCTTTTTTTGACTGAAACATCATTGAACTGAACCCACAGCCGCTTGAAAACGTCTCCAGGTGGTTTCATTCCGGCTCGCTACTTGATGAAGCTGTAGACGAACGAACCAAGGACGATGGTCAAAATCACGCAGCAGCAGAGTATCATCATTTGTTTCTAGAGAACAAGGAACGGGTTGGGGTTAGAGAAAAAGAAGAGAGATGACTACATTCCCCTTTAAACCTAAAGCCGAATAAAATCACGTTTTATAACAACTATACCAAGAACGTGTGACTTTAAACAGCAACAGGAAACGCCAAGATAGCAGTTACTTTCTTCAAACAAAGGCCTCAGCTATTTCTTTTTATTATTATTATTATTATTATTATTATTATTATTATTGTTATTATTATTATTATTGTTATTGTCTTTCAGTTTTTTTTTGGTCTAACAATTTTAATTTGTAAATGTAACTTAAGGTCGAACACTATTGTCCTTCTTGGATCCAATACCCAGAGGTGTGGAGAGACACAAGATTTAGACTTGAGTCACAGTTTTAATGTGTTTACATGTCAGTGGATGAAAATCATCAAAAATTGTTGGGACTTGCCTCAGATTTTATCCCCAGTAACTCAAGCTTGAGCTTTTTAATCTGTCTGGAGTTACAGTGATGCCGGTCTGTTGTTGTGAAAAGGCAAGGCTCTTTTTGTAGGTCAGTCTACATTCAGACCCTCAACTTTGGTCTCAAAATGTATTTACTGATGGAAAGAACAAGGTCACGGATACAAGCAGTTGAAATTAATTTTCATAGCAAAGTGGCTGGACTCTTACTTAGAGACAGAGTGAGATATTCAGTTATCTGGGAGACACTCAGAGTGGAGCTACTGCTCCTCCACATCGAGAGGAGCCAGTTAAGGTGGTTCAGGCATATTGGTCAGGATGTCCCTGGATTCCTTCCTAAGAAAGTTTTCTGGGCTTGTCCAACAGGGAGGCGACCTTGTCGAAGACATTATCTCCCAGAACTACTGGAAGAGGTGGCTGTGGAAAAGATGTATGGACCTCCATCCTGGAAAGATGGATGGATTGATGAATGATGGATTGATGAATGATGGACTGATGAATGATGGATTGATGAAAGGAAACAATAAAGAGAGAGAATTTTTTTTTAAAAAAGCCTCTGTTTTAGTGTATAATTTGTATAATTTGTATATGCTGTAAATGATATTATAGTAGAAAGAGCTTTTTTTGCTCCGTGTTTGTGATAAAGATGTGAACTGAAGTAAAACTGTCTCAGAGATAAGATAAGATAAGATAAGATAAGATAAGATAAGATAAGATAAGACTCAAAACTGCATTGTGTTGGAAAGGTCATAACACAGACCTTTATAGACATCTGCTGGCTGACATGATGCAGAGAAGGAAGGTAGATGTTTTATGTGTTCAAGAGACCAAGTGGAAGGGCAGCAAGGCTCGCAGCATTGGAGCAGGGTTCAAACTGTTTAACCATGGTGTGGATAGAAAGAGAAATGGAGTAGGGTGGTCCTGAAGGAGGAGTTGTCAAAGAATGTAGTAGAGGTGAAGAGAGTGTCAGGGTGATGTGTCTGAAGTTGAACATCTGATGTTGTCAGCACTTATGTTCTGAGACAGACAAATTTTGGAAGGCTCAATGAAGGGACAGAGAAAATTCAGAGAGAGGAGAGAGTGGTGGTCAGAGCAGACCTGAATGGGCTTGCTGGTGAAGGAAATCGAGGGGATGAGGAAGTGATGGGTAGGTTTGGTGTCAAGGAAAGAAATCTTCTGGTTTCTTTCATTGACAGGAAACGAAAGAAGGACAGATGGTGTTGGATTTTGCCAAGAGAATGAAAATGGTTGTGGTCAACACTCATTTCTAAAAGAGGGATAAATATGTGTCTCTGTGATGGACTTGCCTGTCCAGGGTGTACCCCGCCCCTCGTACAATGATTGCCAGACATGGGCACCGGCGGCCCCCGTGACTCAAAATGGAAGAAGTGAGTAAAAGATGATGGATGGATGGAGAAATATAGGGTGAGCAGAGGAGCAAAGGTCACAAAGGTACAGGACTTCAAGTACTTAGGGTTGATGATCCAAGAAAAGTGTGTTCAAGAGGTAAAGAAGAGAGTCCAGGCAGGATGGAGTGGAAGGAGAAAAGTTTCAAATATGATTTGTAACATCAGTGGCAGTAAAGGAAAAAAAAAGTTTAAAAGACAGTAATGAGTCCAACTATGTTGCATGGTCTGGAGACAGAGACATGGACAAAAAGACAGGAGACAGAACTGGAAGTGTCAGAAATGAAGATGTTGAGGTTCTCCTTAGGAGAGACAAGGATGGAGAAGATAAGGAATGAGATCATCAGAGGTACAGCACAGGTTGAACAACTGGGAGATAAAGTTAGAGAGGACACACTGAGATGGTTTGGACATGTCCAGGAAAAAGACACTGAGAAGATACATGGATGCAGTTAGAGAGGACATGGAGGTAGTTGGAGTGAGGACAGAGGATGCAGAGGACGGTGATGGTGGAGGATGAGTCACTGTGGAGACCCTGAAGAGGGAAAAGCTGAACAAACAAAAAGAATGTCTACATTATTTACAGGACACTTTTAAAGTATTCTTGGAGAGGACAATGTCTGGCTTAAGAAAATTGGGGGCGTCGTGTCTACTTTTTTGTGGATGATGTGGTTCTGTTGGGATCTTTAAGCCATGACAATCACTGAAAGCATGAGGTGGCTGCGTTAATAGTCACCTGTTGGAGGACATGCATCAGGGCATTGCTATGGTTCGTCTTGGTTCTAGGCTGAGCTCAGTCTAACAGACACGGTTGAAGCTCCGTGCAGCTGGCATGGCACAGCTCAGGAACGTCACTGTTGGGTCAGTACGATCCCCCAAAACACACTTCTGCGCAAGTCCTCTTGTGGTAATGTCCTCCTGCAGCAACAAAGCTGCCATTGTTCCACAATTACACAACTTTACGCAGCTGGACTTGTTGTTTTAGACTAATGGAGGACAAATTGACCTAATTTCATCAAATGAATAGTTTGTATTTGTGAATATTTTTATTTTATCATGTTTTTTTTGTGTGTGTTTCCTCCTAGAAAGGGACCTGCCCCCTGCTCGCCTTCATTCTGGGCCTGACATTGTGCTCTGAGATGACTTCTGATGTGACTTGGTAAATGGTAAATGGAGCTTACTTCTATAGCGCCTTCCAGCCCCCTATGAGGGGCCCCAAGGCGCTTTACAGTACCAGCCATCCACCCATTCACACGCACATTCATACACCGGTGGCGGTAGGCTGCCATGCAAGGCGCCATCCAGTCCCACCGGGAGCAACTCGGGGTTAAGTGTCTTGCCCAGGGACACAACGGCACATGGTGTGGGAAGTCGGGATTCGAACCTCCAACCTTCCGATCAGAGGTCGGCTGCCACTACCACTGCACCACGGCCGCCCGACTTGGTGCTATATAAATAAAGTGAACTGAATGGAATTATTGTCTGCACCTTATCCACCATGGGAGTTGTTCAACGTTAATCAGCTGATCAGACACTGGTTATTTTCTCAGAGAGAATGGAAGTGCCCTTTAGACAATTAGCACACATTTTATGAGCCTCAGCTGACTGCATGCCTCACACACTGGTGTGTTTGTAAGAATATAAGAAACTTTACAGTTTACATTGGAGTTAGGTTGTTGTCACCATTTGATTATTTTTGAGGCTAGATGTTGTGTTGTATGAGGTTAAATGGGGTTCAACTTACTCATTCGAATTAAAACAAAAAATGCCTTAACTCGTGGAAAATGTGTTCAGTAAATTTTAATTTAAGTGTGGACTGATAAAGTCTGTGAGGAGATGAGCACATTCTCATGGCAGGTCAGAAGTGTGGGTATAGTTACACACACTTTCATGCAACATTTGATTTGATACAACCTGGTGTGTGTGTGGAACCTGGCGTAAGCCACGCTGCTGTGTGTACGCACCATTCATACAAGAGGCCCCAGGTTACCAGAGTGTGCTTACGACTCGTTTCAACACTCTGCACTCTCCAGTCATCTTATTGTTCTAAATTCTAATGCTTTTACAAGATTGAAGTAAGGCTTGAGAGTGGTCCAACTCACCCTGCGCGCCTCCTGCTGGAATTTGGCAGCCTTCTTGGTGTCAGCCACTGCCCTCTCTACGAAACCCACTGACTGGTCCATGTTGCTTTCAATTCTGTCTATCATGCCACCCTGTTCACACGAAGAAGAACAAATGAAGAACAAATGGCACACGTGTTTTTGAAACTAAGCGGATTTACAACAGTAATTAAAATAATATTAACCAACTTCATAGTGTAGTAGGATCAAACAATTTGATTGTGACCATTAGTATTGTCTAAACAAATTCCTAATATGAAAGAAAAAACACTAATTGGCCTTTAGACTGAAGGTGAGGCACAGAATCAGAAGCTTGGAACGAACCACATGACATTTAAACCCATAAAAACGTGACTCTTTACTACACTGATTGTGATGATGTCATGAGTAGAAGAGCTCCTCAACACATAGACTTTTCACAATTTTTCTTACATTTGCATCTTTTTAAAAAATACTGCTACGGTATACAATAAGTTCTGACATATTTGTACCATGTCTTTTTATCATTTACTTTTCTCTGGGTTTTTCTTATTTATCAGTGAATTGGGGATTTTTTCAAATGGCAACGTTGTGCAGGTATGGAACAATGTTACAAATGCCTAATTTCCATAGGTCCTGCTTGGGTCGACCCCTAATGGGCCTTATTGGGCCGGTACAGGTCAGACCGTTTCCTTTTCCGTTTCCACAGAGCCCCTTTATGCTTTCAGTACCGGCTCCAGTGGGCGAGGTTCAAACTGACGTCACGTGCCTCTCATCAGCTGGTGGCGGTGAGATGCTGAAACAGGTGTCAGTACAGGGTGAGAATTTAACATATATATATATATATATATATATATATATATATATATA